GGCTGAGGCAGAAGGATTGCTTGAGCCCAGGAGTTTGAGGTTGCTGTGAGCTAGGCTGACGCCACGGCACTCACTGTAGCCAAGGCAACAGAGTGAGACTCTGTCTCAAAAAAAAAAAAGAAAAAAAAAATTTACTGCTGTCTGAAATATACTTGTTTGTGGACTCCTGCCACTAAGCCCCCAGAGGGAAGGGATTTTCGTGTTTCTGTTACTCCTCAATGTTTAAAACAGAACTTGGCATAGGATGTTCAACAACTTTTTGTTGACTTAGTAGATATGAACTTGACAAAACAGCTTCTTTGCCCCCAGAAATGCGTGAATCTAATGGGCACACATAATTAAAATACAATTGCATGTGTTCAGTGGGAACACAGGATCCTCCAAATATGCCCAGAGGATTTACCCAGGGCAGGCACATACAATGGAATAGTTATTTTGCGGCTGTGCTAATTGAGGTAATAGATCTAAGGCTTTTGTAACCTCTAACGTACTGTGCAATTTTAAGATTGTATCATAACTTGGGAAGGTTATGTCATTTACTCTTTCCTTGCCCCGAAAATTCTTCGTTTCACTTCCTCATTCATTTCCTTTTTCCATCCAAATGGTCAAGCGGCTATGAATGGTACCGTCCAAAACGAGCGTGAAATGGTGTTCAGACTACGAGCCTGCGTAGTGGTAAATGGCTCGCTGGAGCCAGCGCATGCGCATCTTTTGTGGTGCGGCACGATGGCCACCAACCATTTTGTCCCGCGTCGGTGCCCTAAGGAGTTGGCGGCGACAGCAGCTGCTGCCGCTGCCAAAGACTAACGGTGACCTCTCGGCGGTGGGAATTTTCCGGCCCTGTTGTGTGACCAGAACAGCAAGAAGTCAGCGACCCAGCTACGAAGCAAAAGGTCGGGGCAGGGCGGAGCGATGGAGCCCCTCCCTCTAACCTTTCCTTAGTTTGACCAGCTCGCTCACCTATCCCTCCCAGTCCCCGCTACACGCTGATCTGCTGCGCAGGCGCACAAATAATCGAAGCGCCTCCCTGGCCCTTGGGCCTTGCGAGCTTCTGCGCGCGCTTCTCGTTCTCCACCCTTGATTGGTGAGATTGCCCCGCCATCACGCCTCCCTCTGCTTTCAAGGTTGGGAAGGAAGCGGGAGGCGGGGCCAAGCAGCGCGTGCGCGATACTGTTGCTGTTCCTTTGCTGCTATTGCGTTGCAAAAAAAATCCTGACTAGGTAGCTTTGGGCCTTTTCTGTGCTAGAGAATCTAAAGGAGAGAGAAAAATTTCTGCAACTGAAGGGGCAGTCGGGTAGTATTAAATTTAATATATTAACGCCCGCCTTGGCTCACAGGATTGTGGGGATAGGGGTGGGGAAGGGCCTCAGCGTTGAGAGCCGAAGACTATAAAAACCATTTGTTTCGGGGCCAGGCGTTTTGAAAGGCTTTGCAGGTCCTGTTTTCTGCGTAATTCTTCCTTGATTACAGACTGGTTTAAACACGACCCCTTTAACAATACTGATAAACCTTCGAAACCCGCAGCCCCTCCTTGCAGCGTGTAGGAGCCGCCAGCGTGCCCAGCAACTGGTCTTCGCGTCGGTACCTCCAGAAGAGCTTAGCGCGTGCACCATCCCCACCCCCTGGCCTCCCTCCCCACCTCCGGCTTTCACGCACTCGCAGTGATTGTTTTGCCCGCTCCCGCCGCCGCAGCCGCCGCCGCCGCCGCCGCCAGAGGAGCAGCAGCGCTTGTGCAAACCGGGAAGATGGCGGCCGGCGGCGGCGGAGGCAGCAGTAAGGCCTCCTCCTCGTCGGCCTCTTCGGCAGGGGCTCTGGAGTCTTCGTTGGATCGAAAATTCCAGTCGGTAACCAACACCATGGAATCCATTCAAGGCCTGTCGTCTTGGTGTATAGAGAACAAGAAACACCACAGTACTATCGTCTACCATTGGATGAAGTGGCTTCGGAGATGTGAGTGTTGGGGGTGACTAGGGAAGGGAAGACTAGGGAAATGGAAGGAAATACAGCATGAAACGCTTGGGCTTTTCCCATGGAGACACTGCATTTAGTTTGGGTTGTTCACTTTAAAGCTTTGACCCGGGTGTTCCCAAACCCAGACTCCATTCCTAGCCAGGGGTTGCCCTCAACTTCAGGAGGTTCATTTCTTGGATTTTTAAGCCATTGATTTCGTGTGACCTTGGGCCGTTGGGCCAAGATCCATAGAGGTTTACATATTCTTTCATTTCAGAACCTTGTAAGGTATGTTGCTGATTTTACGGAAATTGTCGGCGTCCGTTTATTTGTTTATTTCTTAGAGGCCTTGATGTGTGAATAATTTCTGGTTTTCCTGATGGTACATAAGCTATGGTAAGCAGTAGTGAATCCAGCCACTTCGCTGGACTATGTTGGACCATTCTGTATTTTCCGCTGACCTAAAACTTGTGATGTGTAATAAGGAGGGCCTTATCTGGATGAATGTACCTAAAACTTGTGATCTGTAGTAAGGAGAGCCTCACCTGGGTGAATGTTAAGTAGAAGCAACATGAGCTCTGCACGGATCTTAGGCGACCACCAGGTTTCCCTGTACCTGTTGTTTGCTGCAGTAAGATACAGGTTTCTTGAATACTGACCAGAAACAACTGTGGTACTGTAGTGAGTGTCATCACTAATACCTTAAAAATGTAAAACATATCCGGCTACTTTTTAACTACCTGAAATACCTTTTAACAAAATTGAATTTCATTTCATAGGTAATCAAAATAGGAAATGTGCTTTTTGAATATATAGTACTTTTTTCCCGTTATTGCTTTTTTTTTGTATTCATCTTGGAGATTTTTCCACTTTTCCTCTTTTGCTACAAAAAGAGGTCTGTTAAAGCATGGATTGTTTGCAAAAGAGTTCACAAATCTTACAGGAGGAAATGTGGAGAAGTCACTGTTGCTTCCTGCTGGGAAGAAAGGGTTAACCCTTACTCCACGTATATCTGTTTGAATTTTAGTTTGCTTCCTGCCTATGGCATGTCCCCAGTGAGACCCATCATCCAGTTATTCTTTCTTCTTTTTCCACTTAGGCCATTTCCCCTGTAGTATTTTGATTTGTTTACCTTTTTGGGAACAAATAGATAAAACTTGCAAAAGTATAGGCTCCAAGCTTCAAACCATTTGTATTTAAAATTGTTGGGAGAGATGTTTTGTGGTTCTTTGAGTAATAATGTTTAGTTATTAGAGACAAGACAAGATTATCTGTATTTACCAATAGTAGATCAAATAGTTACTTTCTTGCCAAAAGGTAAAATTAGAATATGAAATATCAAGTGTACTAATAGTCATTATCAAAGACTCTCACATGTTAAGTATCTACTATGTGCTCAGCCATCTCAATATATAAGACATAGATTTATGTCTTAAAATATACCTTAAGATCTACTGAGAAGTAGATTGTTTAATCACTGATTTACAAATGGGGAAACTAAGGCTCAGAAATGTTAAGTTGCTTAAGGTTATTCAGTAGAATGGTGGAGTTAGGATTTGACTTTACCATTAACTTTGTAAAATAATGTTTAAATACTTCATACACCACTGATAGCAAGCAGTTCTAATGTGAGCTTGAGAACATATTCTCCACCCAGTTTTAAAACATTTTTACTAAATTATACAAGCATTTTACATTTTATCACCTTTGGGCTCTGGTGTTAACTGTATGGTTACATCATTTGCAAAAATAGGTTGGTTCCCATCCCTGCCTTGTGGGATCACGAGTGACAATTACAATATTTTTTCTAGTCAGCAATAATGAGATATACTGGAGCCAGATTTTTTTTTGCCTTTACTGTTGATATTGTGCTTGAGCTTATTTCTTTTGTTGATATCTTAAGAGTGAAAAAATGATTGCTCTATGAAGGCGATACTTCAAATGAAGTGCATTCTATATAGTTTATATAGTTAAGTGCTTTAGCTTTCTAAAACCTTGATGTTGTTTTTCTAGTGGTATGGAATTTAACTTTCTAAAATGGTTAATGGTAATTTGTAGTTGTTTTGTATTTACATTTAATGAACATGGTTTATCTTACCATAAATAGAGCTTTTGAAGAGAAATATTCAGCAGAGTGGTGAAGGGCAGAATGAAAATATAATAGTTTGTACATTGGGCTTCGTTTTCGTTTAATTTCATATTTCTTTACAGCTAGACTTAGTTTAGTTTGAATTTGGCAAAATTTGAGCTTCAGACAAAATTGTGAAATAGGTGTCTTTGATATTTCCAGTCTTTCTGTCCATTTTTCCTGATGCCATTTTTGTTTCTGTTTTTTCCTGATAACCATTATTTAGCAATTTAAATTTAGACCCTCAGTGTAAATTTAAGTGACTGTGTTAGCTTTTCCAGAAATATTTTTACTTTATCTCTTATTTCATAACGTGTAATAAGAGACTTTTGTTCACTTTAAAGGAAGTAGTTTAGAAAAGGTAAGGAAGCTCCCTGAAGATAATACTCCATAGATAGGTTCTACGATTTTATTCAGGCTTCTTTTAATTTGCTTGACTAGCATTCATTACCATCATTTTCTAAGGTGATCTTTCTGTAACATAAACAGGTGTCATTCCTCTGCTTTAAAATCCTCCAGTGATATACCATTGCAACAGTGTTAAGATCTAAACTTCATTTACTGTGGTCTACAAGATCTTGTACCATGTGCTCTGCCTACCTTTCAGACCTTGCTGATTTATTTATTTATTTATTATTTATTTATTTGTTTTTAGAGACAGAGCCTCAATCTGTCACCCTGGGTAGAGTATAATGGAGTCATCATAGCTTACTGCAAACCTCAAACTCAAGCAGTCCTCCTACCTCAGTCTCCCAAGTAGCTGGGCCTACAGGTGCATGCCACCATGCCTGGCTATTTTTTTCTACTTTTGTAGAGATAGAGTCTCACTCTTGCTCAGGCAGGTTTTGAACCCCTGACCTCAAGGGGTCCTCCTTTCTTGACCTCCCGGAGTGCTAGGATTACAGGTTTGAATCACCTCGCCCGGCCTTCTCAGGCTTCTTTAAATTCTGCCTTGTTCTCATCATTTAGATCCAAGCTTAAATATTAACTTTTTCAGAAAGGTCTTCTCTATCACTTTATTTCACGTGGTCCTTTCAGTTGCTATCACATCACCTTATTTTCATTATAAAATTACCTTATTTGTTATATGTTTATTGTCTGTCTTCTCCCCACCAGTCCAAAGAGATGTGTCTTGTTTGCTGCTGTATCCCCAAGGAACTAGAACAGTGCTTGGCATACAGTTAGCAATCAGTAAATATTTGAATATTTGCCAATATAATGTTGCGAAATAGTTAATCAAGAACTTAAGGACCAGAATTGTTTTTATTTCTGTTTATCAGAAAGAAACATTTATAATTTAGTGAAAGAAATTATAGGCAGGTTCAGGATATGACTTACATGAAGTTAATGTGCAGGTTGACCAGATTATCATTTCTATACTTCTTTTCTCCCCTTCCTTCTTTTTTTTTTTTTTTTTTTAAGGAGAAAGGGTCTC